AGGTGTCAGCTGCCCCTCTCCCTGCCCGCCCACGCAGGTGGCAGGACCCCTTCCCACAGTGTACAAGGCTTTCCAAGTCCCCCGTCCTTGGCCACTTTCACCCTGGCCTGGGACCTACACTTGGTCCATCACAAGTTTGTGCTTGGAATATGGTGGCTGGGGAGTGACCACAAGCTGGCATGGCCACAATGTTGAGGATCTGGCAGCCCAGCTGCCCATGGCGCGGTGGCCAGTGCTCCTAGTGACCCCATGTGACTAGACACCCTGGTCCCTGGGCTCCTGCTCTCCAGACTCCTCACCACTCCATGAGCTGTTAATAGTCTTCAATTAACTGTTTTTATTATCATTTTGGTTTTGATTATTAATCAATACTGTCTGCAGCCAACAAGTCAAATGGTAGAGCTTTTATTCTTGATGTGTTTGGCACTAGAAAGAACCCATGTCTGCGGAGTCAATGTTATTATTAAGAAGGAAAACAAAGAGGACCCATCTGCACACAAAACCAGGCAGAGCTGAGGTTCAGGTAGAACACAAGACGGCTCCTGCTTTCAGAGGGTGCTTTAGCATGGTGCCTGGGAGAACAAGTTCATGGGCAGACACTCTTCTCTGCCCCAGAACCAGCATGCTGTGTGGAGGAAACCGGATGAACCAGACGCCGGGCTCTCCCCTAAGCTGAGGAAATAGGTTCCCAAAAGAGAAACAAAGACTGAGGCTGGGAGCCCCCTGTGCAGGAATGCTGGGGGGCATACCCCACGCCCAAGCAGACCAGCCCACACAGGCACCTGCCAAGACCCCTGCTCCTGACCCATAGAGAGTGAGCGAGCACCGTGGAAAACTAATGCTTTTAACGGAAAATCACAGAGAAAAGTAAGATGGGGCTCAATGACAGAAACAAAAAGAAGCCCAAGGGGAGGTGTGCCACTGTCCGTCTTGGTCTGCTTGGCGGCCATGGCTGGCACAGGCTGGGCAGGCAGAGAGCAGAGCTCCATTTCACAGCTCCGGGGGCTGAGGCCCAAGACCAAGGCCAGCACTTGGAGTCTGGTGAGGGCCTTCTTGCTGGTCCTGCATGGCAGAAGACAGGAGAGGCAAGGGAGGAAGGAGCCCGACGCCAACCCGTGAGGCTTTGACACAGCCTGGGTTCCATTGACACAGAGGAGGCCAGCTCCCCCCACCATCCGTTGGCAGTATGTGGACTTCAGGGGGAACCTTCAAACCCCGGCACCCACTAATCTGGATCGATTCTTTATTTTGGTTTCTTAAAAGCTGAGTCTCCTAACCACGGATGGCCAGGTGCATCAGGGCCATGCGCATGCCCAGGTCCACAGACGCCCTGTGAAGGGCCAACAGGGCTTTCTCTAGAACCCATGCTACTAAGGTGAGGGATGCAAGAAGTAACTGCAGACATCGGCAGGAAGGGTGCTGAAACTTTCATAGCAAATGGAACAGAGAACTTTTGTCTGTTACATCTCATCAGAGAAAGTCGGTTTGTATTTTGTAGGATCTTTTTTATTTCACTGAAATTAAAAATGTGATAAAAATAACAAAACCTGATCCTTCACAGATAGTTTGGAAAGCAAAACATGTAAAATAATTAATTAGACTGGGGATTCGGCTCAGTAGAGCAACTGCCCGCCAAGGCTTGGCCGATCAACTTGCGGAAAATGGGTCAGCGGGCATTTGGCTTCTGACCAGGATCCCAGGGGAAGGCGTCTGGGGCTGGGTTGAAAGCCACTGGTGGTGTCCATTCTTCACTTTTGACGTTCTCACTCCTCCCCACTTGGCCACTCCACAGGGAAAATGAAGAACTTCCCAGAAGGTTGAGCCAAAAGCCATGGAGAACAGTGGCCTGGGAACCTCCTTCCAGGGAGGAAGAGATGGTCAGAGACTGCCCTCCAGAGCGGCCCTGGGTGACTGCCTGCTTCTGCTACCAACAAGGCCCACAGACACTGTCTTTTGAGAATGTGGTCTGAAGATGGCTGGCTTTATTTGTTTATTTTGGTACTAGGGATTGAACCAGGGGCACTCGACCCCTGAGCCACTTCCCTGGCCCTATTTTGTATTTTATTTAGAGACAGGGTCTCACTGAGTTGCTTAGGGCCTCGCTTTTGCTGAGGTTGGCTTTGAACTTGAAATCCTCCTGCCTCAGCCTCCCAAGCTACCGGAATTACAGGCATGTGCCCCTGAGCCCAGCTCATTTATTTTTTAATAACGGATTAACTGTCTGGCTCAATTCCTAGGCCTCCGGATCAAAGGCCAACTGTAGCCATGATGTGGAGATCAGCTCAGCGACCTAAACACTGAGCCGATGAGATCTTGGGGGTTGTCCCTTGTGTGTGTGTGGGGTGGGGGCGGGGGTGGTTATTGTGTGTATGGAAAGAAGAGAAACAAATATTCGGGATAAACATTTGTTCAAAACATTTGCTGACCACCCCACCAGCCCACCAAACTGCACTTGACCCTGCAGCCTGCCACGGCGCTCTGTGTCCAGAGCTGCCACGAACGGCAGAGCTCTTCCCCTGCCTGAGATTGTGTCTGGAGCAGCGCTGCCCAGGAGCCTGCCTCTGGGCCTGCCAGGGACAGGAGCAAGAGGCCTGGCTGGCCCGCCTGACGTGGGGTGCAAGCCCTGGGGTTGGGGTTGCTTCTTGCCACAGCAACACTGAGCCACAGCCAGCCACAGGAAGGAAGTGGAGCTCCTGAGCGGTGGGTGCTGTCTGCTCAGTGGAGCCGAGGTCAGTGTGAGTGGAGAAGAGGAAACAGGGGGACGTGACAGCCAAGAGGAGAACTCCGGACGAGGCTGACAGCAGAGGAGAGCGTTCACACCCAGCTTCGTCAAAACCAGGCAGCACTCCAGGTGGCAAAGACTCTGAGAGTGTGGGAAGAAGGGGGGGAGGGCACGGGAGGAACCCAGAGAGGAGAAGAGACCCACAGCTGCCCGAGGGAGGGGAGCGTGGCGCAACCTGGCAGGATGAGCTGACGCCTGAGCCGGGTGGACGGGAGGGGGAGGTCACAGGCAGGCATGGGTGTACTTGGGGTGGCCAGGGAAAGGCCACGTGCAGAAGAAAGATCAGGAGGGTCGGGTGCAGGACTTGGGGCAGGTGTGGGCAAGACCAAGATTCCTGCACCGTGACCCAGGCATGTGCTGGCGTGCCCGGATCCCAGCCAGCAGCAGGACCACGTGACACTGCCCTGGCGGATGGCCCAGCACGGCTGGGGCAAGTCAGGTGTCCCTTCATGGCCCACTGCCCCAACACACACAGGCGCTGACCAGGAGGACGCCCAGCAGTCGCACTCAGAGCCTCGCAAGGCTGTGGCTGAAGAAGGTGGGGCAGTGTGGGGTGAAAGTGAGTCTGCCCCACCACCTCTGGAAGCTTCACATCCCTGGCCCTCCCTCCCTGAATGCCCAGCCTCGCAGAGCCCTCCAAACATGGATCCCCAGGAATCCCTCAGCTCTGTGATCCCAGAGCACACTGGCTTAATTCTCTCCTTGATCTTGACCTTCCAGTGGCAAAACCATGCATCTGTCTCCTCCACCCAAGCATAAATTCCCAGAGGACAAGGACATGTCTATTCAGTTCAGTGTCTGGTATACATGGAACCTCATACATTAGTTCTGTGTCTCTGCCATGGTGGAGAACGTAAGAGAAGTATTTGGCATTGATTGCGGATTGCAAGGGTCTTATAATCTAAGAGTAGGTGAACCACCCCAACTGGGAAAACATCACGTTTACATGGTGGGTAGGACAAGAGCAGGAAGTAAGAAACGGGTGGGTGTGGTCATCTTGGCATCCCCAGAGGTAGCAGTCAAAGGAACCAGAGGATCAAGAAGCTTGCTTGGGCACAGTCCTTCTTGACCTGGACCCTGCAGGATGTCGGTGGGCGCAGGAGAAAGGGAAGAGAACAGCACACGTGCACCCAGTATGGAAGGAGGGACGGAGGGAGCCCAGGCAGGAGGGCTTGCACAGAGGAGCCCAGAAGGACAGGGAAGTGAGTGGGGGAGGGGAAGGCAAGATGGGGCATGTCACCCCCTGGGAACATGGGGCCTGTCACCCTGCAGCCTTCCTAGCAGTGCGCTAGAAGTTTCCTCTCTTTAACACCTACGCGGTACAAGACAGCAGGAGACGTGAGGAGGGGAGCCTGGTGGCTTCTGCAGGGGACCAAGCAACATGGAGCTCTTGGGAACCAGATGGCAGAGACCAGAATACGCCTCCGAAATGCAAGACTCCCACTCCCTGTGACCAGCCGCCGCAGTCTGTGAGTCCGCAGGCTCTCAGAGGCCATCTGACTTAAGGACACGTCATCGTGGCCCCAGTGCCCAGGAGCCACCACATCCTTCCTTTAGGGTGGCAAGCCCAGGCCAGGGTGGGAACAGGGGCAGCCGCAGGAAGGAGGACCTAGAGCCGGAGAACTCCGGGAGCCGCTGGGATCCGTCTTCTCACAGATGACGCAGCCGGCCAGCCTGAGCTCACTGCTAGTGACACCTGGCCCTCAGAGCACACCACTGACTCTGGTTACTTCCCGGACCCACAATGGCAAGCCGAATTTAAAGAAGGCCTCTCTCCTCCTGCCCTGCTCTGTGGACTCTCACGCCCTCGCCCTCCCTTTCCTTCTCTTGCTTCCCCGCTGGCCCCTCACAGTGTGTCACCTGAAGGGGAAGGTCTCACATTTTGTACCCATTACTGTGACAAGCTGCGACTGTACTGAAATAAACATTGACATTGAGCAGGGAGACCCTCAGGCTTCTGAAGGGATTTCATGCAACCCACCTGCCATGTCATACAGCCAACCCCCTGTGACCAGAGGGCAGGGTCTGTCCTCCAGATACTGGACTTTCCCTAGACTTCCACACGCTTTCCTCCTCTTCAAATCTAACCTGACGAAAGATCTGTGGTAGCAACCCAGTTCCCACAAAAGAAGGGGCAGACAAAGGCGGCACTGGGCGGGTTTCTGTTATTGAAATGTAGTTACTTAGCTCCTCTGCGACCTGGTGTCCAAAAGATCACCTGTTCGTGAGAGCTGCTCAGCCGGCAGCTGCTGCAGGAAGGAAGGGTGGTCTTCCTGTGGAGGTGAAGGCCAGCGGCCATGTTCTGAGAGAGCCACTGCAGCTGCTGGAAGACAGAGGGTGATGTGAGGAGCAGCCTTTGGGAAGGATGCCCCCTCCCGGCTGTGAGACTGGGAGCCTCCACTCCAGGCCTCCTGAAACGGAAGCTGCCTTCCCATGGCCTTCCCCACCGGAGGCCACAGTGGACACTGATGGGCGGGAGTGGACAGCGCAAGTGACCCTTCCTCTAAGTCCCCAGGGGAGATGGGCCAGGAGATGGGCCTGTGGCTGGGGGCAGAATGAAATTAACTGGCCTAAAATCACACCCCACGCTGCCGAGAGCCTCCAGGGCAGGGGGGCTGGGGTTTAGCTCCTACCCTGTCCTTCCCTCACTGTGGATTTGGGCCACTGAACTCTCCAAAGCCACACGACTACAAGGTGGATGGACACGGCTTGCTCCCAGGTGTGTCCCCTGTTGGGAACGCTCTGCCTTCCGGAGTCCCCAGGCCTCCTCAGTCAGTAGAGGTAGAATGACCTTAACCGAAGCCAGGAGTTCAAGTCCCTGCCTTAGGGCCCTGGGCGACAGCTGGAAGGGGTGGCCTGTTCCCTCCAAGTCCAAACCAGCCCAGCTACCTGGCCCCGTCTGGCTGGGTCCCGCGTGTTCCTACCCACCCCACAGGCTGCCCGGGAAGTTCCAGTAATGTCGTCAGTCTCAGGAGCTTCCTCAGGTCTACTTACTGGGAACGGAAACTTCTCTGGAACTTTCTGTCCCTTCCCCTTGCTCCTCAAACATGCAGCTTTCTTTGGATGGGCATTTCCCCTGTGAACCACAGTGAGGAAATGAAGTAGGCTCTGATTTTAAACTGCCAAGTGGGTCCAGTTTAAAAGCCTGTGATGAAGGTCCCGGGTGGGAGTGGCAGGGGAAGCTTTAACAGGCCTCCCACAGAGTCACCAGGGAGCCAGGCACGCCCCGGCCACCCCCAGAGATCCACCTCCCTGGGTGCCTTTGCCATCTGAGAGGGGTGGACAGGGCCAAGGACACGACAGGTGTTACAACCCGGAAAAGAAATGTCTGAATGGCACTGCTCTTTGTCACTTTAACGACAAAATCAAAACAAAAAACACCAAAGACTCTCACATGATCTCGGAGAGTATTTCAAAATGTGATAAATTTCTTTTTTCTTGAATCATTTTCAAAATAATTGGAGGGCTATAGCAATCGGCTCTCTGCCCGGATTCATTTTTGCAAAACAAACAAAACCCCCAAAGTACCAAACGGTGGCCCGTTGGCCTCCCGGGGCTGCTGTAAAGGGGTGCCTCGAGGTGGCGTCCAGGTGGCCTGGGGAGGGCTCGGTGGCCGCTGGCACCGCACTCTGAAGCAGCCTCCCGGGCCACCTCCTGTCTCACCACCTCGAGGCGGCGCCCACGCGTAGTCTATGGCTCTCTGTGGCTCCGGGCGCAGGCTGGCCAGCCGGGGACACTGTGTGGGACCTGGCAGTACCCACGGGCTGGGCAGGGACTCACCACGGGTTCTGCGCTTCAGCGGTGGTCACAGCAGAGCCGGCCCTGCCACCCTGCGCTCTTCGCCCCTGCGCTGGGCACTCCCTGGCTTCAGGGCACCCGGGTCATTCACTGCTATCTCCAGCAGCACCTGGTAAGTAGCTCTGTGGTTCGTGGTTCAGGGTCTGCACGCTCCTCCTTGCTCCATTGTGCTCTGCTGTTGAGATTTCTTCCTTCAAGAAAGTTCCTCGAGGTTTTGGAATCTCTCCTGCTCTCCATTGTCTCTCCGCTGCCTGAAAATTAGGAGGCACCGAGGAGCGCCTTCAGCAGCGCGCGGCCTGATACTCACTTGTACCGAGAGTAGCCTCGCAACACCCATCCACACTGGGCAGGTCCGAGGCAAAGAGCCGGCTTGGCGGGACCTAGACCCAGGTCTGAGCCTTGTCTGCGCTTTTACCAGCGTCTGAATTTACCCAGACCCTTGCTTCGCACCCCAGTCTCCTAGGACCCCAGTGTCCTAGTGAGCTTGTGACCTTCAGTTAGCCATTGCTATGACATTCATTCGGAGGGACTCGGCAGCTACTTTAGTTAACTAACACAGCTGTTCCGCATTAAGCAGTTATAAGCTTCAAAAAAGTAACTACTAGGGTCATGTTTCTTCTATATATTCAAGACAAGGACTGAGTTGTGTATTCATTCCATATATTTATATAAAGTACTTTACATAAAAAATACTTCTACTGGTTATTTTAAACTCAACAGTTATCTCAAAGAGTATTTAAGAATGTAACAAATTTCCTTTTTCTTCCTTGAATCTTCCTGCTGAAACTTGAGAGGGTATGGCCATGGCTCTCCATGGCTGGACTTTCCAGCATTCCTGACAGACCTGGACAGCTGGTCCTGGAAGTACGTTTATGGGTCAGCTTTGCCACACTCTAACAAAACGCCCGAGACATTCCGTGTATGAAGATAAAGTTTCCTTTGGGATCATGGTTCAGAGGTTGCAGGCTCCCATGGGGCGGACCCATTGCTTTAGGCCTTTGGTGGGGAGCCAGATGGCGATGGCCAGGAGCACAGGGCAGAACAAAACCCTGCTTCCTCCTGGCCAGGAAGCCAAAGGGGGACAGGAGCAGAGAGGAAGGGTCCAGGGTCCCACATTCCCCTTCAAGATCACCCTGCTGATGACCTGAGGACCCCCCACTAGGCCTCCCCTCTGAAACGTCCACCAGCTCTCCACAGCACCCCTGGGGATCAAGCCTTTGCCCTGTGGGCCTCCCGGCCGCTCCAGACCCATCACAGAATGCTGCCCTGGGCAGGGTGGGCAGCTGCCTGGGCAGTGAGGACGTGCCACCTGATGCGGTTGCCTCTGTGGTCAGCTACCCGGTCGCCGGGCAGCTACACAGGGGCACAACTGAAGCTACTTCCTGTTGCTCACAGTTTACCCCAGCCTGGAAGTCACGGGGCCCCCTGATGAGAGATGGACACCCCTGTTGTGGCCACACAAGCCCCACCCTCTCAGCTTCAAGGGCTGCAGCCAGGACAGGTGCTGATCTCAGGGGGAGGAAAGCGAAACCCCGCTGAGGGAGTTTCTTTACTCATCATAAAACAGGAAGTACTCTTGCCCCCTGTCCCTCAAGCCCCTGGGAGACTATACGGGGGGCATTGGTTAGAAGCAAAGTTGCCCTGAGTTTGAGTGCTGGCTCCCCTGTTTCTTGCTGTGTGATGGGGGGCAAGTTGACCAGTTCTTCTGGGCCTCAAAATCTTCTTGTCTGCAAAATGATGCTTACTTCAAAAGTGTCAAGAAAATTAAATCAGTTAATATATGTGCAGTGTTTGGAAGTGAAGCTGAGCAGACACTACTATTTTTTTAATAATACTTCCTTCTAGGAAATAGACTTTACGTGATACTATTGAACAAAACTTGTATTTTTATGCTTGCATTAGTGTATCATATATATACATAATATTTGAGTTTGTTTTGATGCCTGCATGAAATTTAATCTTTTCCTTTTCATTCTCTGGGGCTTCCTGATTCCCTCCTTCTCCCTCCCCTGTTCCCTCCATCTACTCTACTCCAGGCACTAAATACTTTTTACATGTTTGTCATTATTGTCATTGTCAGTTTTCATTTACTGAACAGAAAATGTTTAAGAGCAGCCATGGTGAGCAATTCATCATGGAAGAGACAAAGACAATCACCTCGTGAAAATAGAGAAAAAGGTCAATTTCTCTAATCCTCAAAGAAATCCAACAAGCTGTCTTCTTACTGCTGCAGCCCATGAAATCAATACTTTAAAAATCCCTGAGCCCAGTGTCCTGGGGTGCAGGGGAAAGGGTTCCCAGGTACCGTGTCAGAGGGCGCACCCATGAACCCTTCCCAGAGGAAGTCAGCAGAAAGAGTCCAGCATGTTTGTGCTCTTGGAAGACTCTCCAGACGCTGTTCCAAGAAGAATGCAATGTCCATAAGGCGCACAGACATCAGGTAGTCGTGGGGCAGGCATCCCTGTGCCATAGGTATTTACAATGCCCACCAAAAAGGGAGTGCCAGCTAAAGGTTTGTTATTCAATCAACTACCGCAGGAGCGGAGGGTCCCTGATCTGGAGGAGACAAGAGCCTTGGGCTCATGGCTCCCTCTCCAGCACAGACCCCAGGACTCCTGCCCTGAGCACCTCTTCTTTTCTTTTGCATTGCTCCCTTGCCCAGCCCCTCCGCCCTGGGGAGCCAGACTGGCTTTCTCACCATGGTGTTTTCCTTAGTAGAACAATGAGACAAAGGTCATGAAAATACTCTGAATACTGTTACCCAGTAACCAAGGGCAGGGTACTTAGCAAGAATAATCCTCCTCTGGTTAGGATCCAGAGGCATGTGTGGCCTTGCCCTACCAGTGGCTGTGCCCGGCAGCTTGGTGAACACCTCTGTCTCTCTGGAGGAGGATAAAGACAGAGGTGATCAGCATCAAGCTACAGAGTGTCTCTTTCTATACTTAATTGCCTGTTTAAAGATGCTTCAAATTTCCTCAAGCCACTACTGAGACAATGTAGCAATACAGCAGACAAACCGGTTGCCCAGTTGGTTACCTTGTCTGCCTTGGCAGAGAGAGGGGATGGCCCAGGTTTAGGGGCCTGGCCCCAGCCTCTGGCAGCTGCTGCAGAGGGCATGCCGGCTGAGAGCACAAAAACCCTTCTGTGTAGGTGCCATTTGGCCACGCAGACCTGGGCAAGGGACCCTGTCCTGCTTCCCAGGTCCCATGTGCTCCGCCCACTCTCTCCTGAGTGGCTCCTTGGACTTTGTTGCAGCTCAGTCCTGATGTTGGCAGGTTGGTCTGCTGGCCAAGGCCGAGCGTCCCTAGTATGTGGCCCGACCCAACCTTCCTAAAGGCTTTGCTCAGATCCACCTCCTGATTCAATATGGCAGCCTGCTGCTGCCTGCATGCCCTTGATCTACCTTCATCTGCTTTTTGTCCTCGATTGCATGAATCACCTGTGCACCACAGAGCCTCCCACATCCTCTCCACATCTGAAATATGAGGCCTGTGGGGCTGCTGTGTTCCACGGTGCACCCCAAGCTCTCAGGCCAGAGCCTGTCTCCGACTGGACCTGGCTACTGGGTGGGGACAGCTGCTGCACACGGTGCCCAGCAGGCAGTAGGTCTCCATGCTAGTGAGGGGCCCTGCAGCAGGCAGTAGGTCTCCATGCTAGTGAGGGGCCCTGCAGCATGCAGCAGGTCTCCATGCTAGTGAGGGGCCCTGCAGCATGCAGCAGGTCTCCATGCTAGTGAGGGGCCCTGTAGCAGGCAGCAGGTCTCCATGCTAGTGAGGGGCCCTGCAGCAGGCAGCAGG